GGCGGCAGTGGAGACCCGAACTCGGACCCCTCGGCTTGGGCTGCCAAGGGCTTGAGGAGGCACTCCGAGCTCAGTGTCGGCTGCATTGTGGGGGAGCCGGCCCTCTCGTCCCCAACCCCCCACGACTGCCCCATTCCTGAGCCAGGAATTTGGGCATGACCCAGTTAAGTGTCCCGGGGTGACCGACCTGGGGTAGCTCCCCCTGAGGTCAGACTTCAGCGAGGCGAGGCACACCTTCCCAGGCCTACTGTTAGGGGAGTCACGACTGTTTGCATCTATATAGACAGGTGGATAAGCTGAACCAGCAGCCCACGCCTCTTACTTTTTTTTTTTTTTTTTAAAAAAAAAACACCAACCGCGGGCGAGGCACTGGGACAGTCACTTTACGTTACCTCCTTCTTAAGCACATTATTTAATCCACATAATCCCTCTGGGCCGACATTATTAATCCCATTTTACAGATAAAGAAACTGAGGAGCACACAGTTAAATAATTTGCCCAAGGTCCCCCAACTAGCAGGCCTCAGAGCCTGGGCGAGATCTGGGGCTTTGGCAGAGCCTGAATCCAAGCTACTTGCCATATACCAACGGGCTCCTCTCCCTCCCTGGGTCCCTGCCCTAGAAAACGTCTGTGCTACTTGGCTGAGGCCGCCACTGCTTGAGCTGAGAAAGAAAAGAGGGGAAATGTGGCCAAGAGCTCCCCAGGCTGGGTTATTCCAAGGTCATGGAGCAGTCTCTGCCCACCCCTTCCTGCTCCCTGTGAGGTTACCTGGCAGGACAGTATTATCCTGTGGTGTCCTCAACACAGGGGGTAATGACAAAACCGAACACCGCCCAGTGCTCTCTATAGGCCAGGTGCTATTCTCGGCTCTTGTCCATGCGTTAACTGACTTCTCTCTCCCCACAAACCCCACCAGGTGGGTACAATACATTTTCCTTTGGCACCTTTCATGTAGCATATATGTCTACATTTTACAGAAGAGGAAACTGAGGCCCAGGGAGGTCAAGTAATATCCCTAAGGTCACTGCGTGGCAAGTCAACTGGCAAGCCCGGGTCCAGATCCCCGGGGCACTGTTGCATACCCCGCCCCCTTGGACAAGTTACTTCCTTCTGAGAGCCTCCATTTACTCCTCAGTAAAGCGGAGATGATCCTCAACGAATGGCATGAGGTACCACCGGGAACCCTTTCAGATGCCGCGGAAACTGGAAACTCGGGTTGCAGTGTGGGCTTCCGAAAGTCGGGCTGGGGGCTAAGTCTGGTTCGCTCCCGCTCGGGGTGGGAACTTCCCTCCCAAGGAGCTGAGACTCCTGGGGCCACCCTGGGGTAGCCCCAGCAGCAGCAGAGCAGCAGTTGGGAGAACAATTCTTGTGCAGTCAGACTGAGGCAGGAAGTGAGTCATGGTTCTTCCCTTGTCTATGAGCTAGAGAACCCCATTGAGAGGAAATTTGGACTGCGCTAGCCCCACCTAGGCTCGGAGTTCCCTAGTGCCCTTCCCACTTGTCCTCTGGCCTTGCAAGAAAGGTCACCGCAGGGAGAGAGCAATCCTGGCCGCCTGGAGGTGCCCCACCCATCCCGGAGGCTGGCCCCAGGGGCGCTGCGGCGGGTCTCAGGAGGAGGAGGGGCTGGCCCTGTCTCAGAGGGCTGCCCCCCCCCCCCCCCCCGGCAGGGCCTGCCTCTCCAATCCCACCTTGGGCAGGAGGTGGAACTCTTTTCAGCTGTGTTGCTCAGAGGTGCATCACTTGAGGGGAGGAGGGGGGGCGAGGACTGAGCAAGTGAGCACCTGTCCTTACTTTGCCCAGAGCATCTTTACCTTCGTCCCTCTCCAGTTTGGGAGTTTCACATACAATCGTATTTTACAACAGTCCTCTTCGCTAAAATGAATTTGGAAGCCACTCCCCTTGAGACGAGGCCCCTCCGGAGAGAATCCCACCTTGCCACAGCTGGTGACCGTTAGCCAACTTCTTCCTTTATCTCCCCTGAAACAAGTCCTGGGGGCATGTATTGTTCTTTGGATCATGCCCAAACATTTACCTGAGGCCTTAACGCCTGAGGGAGCTAAGCGGCCCCTGAAGCCCAGGTGTCACACCCCCCCCTCCCCCCACCGACTTAGGGCCTTAAGAGCCCAAGGGTCTCTGGATCCGTTTATCAGTTTTACACAGCAGTTGATAAGATGGTAGTACCACAGGACAGAAGCCTGGAGTACGAAGCCTTGGGGGGTGGGGGTGGGGAAGCAGGGCCTGCCGCGTAAGGCCCGACAGACGAAGGGGCTGTGAAGGGGGTTCCCACCTTCCCAGCAAGGCTCTGGGAGGAAGGATCCAGCCAGCCAGGCCGCTCTTTATCTTCAAAGTGGGGCCAATCTGCAAGGCTCCTGAGGGCAACCACCGTCCTGTGGCTACGTTCACCCAGACACTCCCATATCCCCTGAGTGCTCCTGGGGTGGGGGTCCTCTTCTCCCCAAATCTCCTCCCCGCTCTCGGGCACCTCAGAGCCCTCCACAGCAGCACCCACACCTGGTTTTAATCAGACCCATTCGTGCGTGCATGTTAGGGCCCCTGACGAAATAACTGGTACTTTCTCTGAAAGGGTGGTATTTTGAGAGCTTTTTTTGTTTTCTTCCTTTTTGCTTACCTGCATTTTCAGGAATGTCTACAGTAACTTTTCTAATAAAATAATTAAACCTTGAAGTCATGCAAAAGTGAGTAAAGCATGCCCATAC